AATGTATTCAAAGAAAGCAAGCTGGGGCCCAGATTTAAAGAAAGCAAGAGCCCTGGCTGGTGTGGCTCAGCAGATTGAGTGCTGGCCTGTGAACTAAAGGGTTACTGGTTCGATTCCCAGTCAGGGCACATGACTGGGTTGTGGGCCAGGTCCCCAGTAGGGGTGTGCAAAAGGCAACCACACATTGATGTTTCTTTTTCTCCCACTCTTTCTCCCTCCCTTCCCCTCTCTCTAAAAATAAATAAAATCTTTTTTAAAAATTAAAGAAAGAAAGATAATAACTGGACACAAGGAAAGGAAAAAAACATTGTATAAGGGAAGGGCAACAGTTACAAAGGAAAAGAGAAAGTAAAGTTTTCTTGTCTAGGGTAAAGAGTATTAAGAAAAAATATCCAAAATTTGAAAATAAGCAAAAGAGATTACTGGGGTCCTTTCAATGGGATGCAGGATGTAATTTAGCAGACCCTCTAGGATTGACCTGATTAAGTAGGGGAGTGCATCTTCATTTGACTTTCTTTTTTAGTTTTTTAAATATATTTTATTGATTATGCTATTACAGTTGTCCCATTTTCCTCCCTTTATTCCCTCCACCCTACACACCCCCTCCCACCTGCATTCCCACCCACCTTTAGTTCATGTCCATGGGTCATACATATGAGTTCTTTGGCTTCTATATTTCCTATACTATTCTTACCCTCCCCCTGTCTATTTTCTACCTACCATTTATGCTACTTATTCTCCGTACATTTTCCCCCTCTCTCCCCCTCCCACTCCTCCGCTGATAACCCTCCATGTGATCTACATTTCTGTGATTCTGTTCCTGTTCTAGTTGTTTGCTTAGTTTGTTTTTGTTTTTGTTTTTAGGTTTGGTTGTTAATAGCTGTGAGTTTGTTGTAATTTTACTGTTCATACTTTTTGTCTTCTTTTCCTTAATAAGTCCCTTTAACATTTTCATATAAAAAGGGCTTGGTGATGATGAACTCCTTGAACTTGACCTTATCTGGGAAGCACTTTATCTGCCCTTCCATTCTAAATGAAAGCTTTGCTGGACAGAGTAATCTTGGATGTAGGTCCTTGCCTTTCATGACTTTGAATACTTCTTTCCAGCCCCGTCTTGCCTGTAAGATTTCTTTTGAGAAATCAGCTGACAGTCTGATGGGAACTCCTTTGTAAGTAACTGTCTCCTTTTCTCTTGCTGCTTTTAAGATTCTCTCCTTTTCTTTCATCTTGGCTAATGTAATTACGATGTGCCTTGGTGTGTTCCTCCTTGAGTCCAACTTCTTTGGGACTCTCTGAGCTTCCTGGACTTCCTGGAAGTCTATTTCCTTTGCCAGATTGGGGAAGTTCTCCTTCATTATTTTTTTAAAATAAGTTTTCAATTTCTTGCTCTTCCTTTTCTCTTTCTTGCACCCCTATGATTCGGATGTTGGAATATTTAAAGTTGTACTGGAGGTTCCTAATTTTCTCCTCATTTTTTTGAATTCTTGTTTCTTCATTCTGTTCTGATTGAATGTTTATTTCTTCCTTCTGCTCCACACCATTGATGTGAGGCCTGGTTTCCTTTCTGTCACAACTGGTTTCCCATACATTTTCCTTTATTTCACTTCTCACAGCCTTTACTTTTTTCTCTATTTTGCGATGATACTCAACCATTTCTATAAACCTCCTGATTACCAGCATTTTGAACTGTGCATCTGATAGGTTGGCTATCTCTTTGTCGCTAAGTTGTATTTTTTCTGGAGCTTTGATCTGTTCTTTCAGATCAAAGGCCTTTGGGCCTTTTTTTTTTTTTTTTTTTGTCTTGGCAACACCTGTTACGTAGTAAGGAGTGGAGCCTTAGGTGTTCACCAGGGTGGGGCAATCACATGGCTGCATTATGACGTTGTGTGTGAGGGGGAGGTCCAAGAGGGAACAGTGCCACTTGCTCTGCTCTCTGCTGGTTTTCAGTCACTTCCCCTAATCAAGCTGGGCCCTTTTGGGGCTGGTTCCTGGGTGGGTGGGTTTGTGTACATTCTAGGACCCTGTGGGTCTCTCCAACAATCTCTCCTATGAGGCTGGGAGTTCCTCCTGCTGCCGCAGCCCCCATAGGTGTTTTCAGTCAGAGGCTTTGAGGCTTTATTTCCCTGCACTGGAACCCTGGGTTGCATGGTTTGTCTTGCTCCCCAGTTGTTCCTCCTGGCTTATCTGTACTCGAATGTGGGGTTACCTAGTCCACCAGCCACTGCCTTGCCCGTCTCAGTCTTCCACCCAGATGCCCGTCTCTGCCCCTCCTACTGGTCTGTTTGAATGTATCTTCTTTAATTCCTTGGTTGTCCAACTTCCATACAGTTCGGTTTTCTGGCAGTGCTGGTTGGTTTTTGTTTTTAAATTTGTTGTCCTCCTTTTGGTTATGTGAGGAGGCACAGTGTGTCTACCTACACCTCCATCTTGGCCAGAAGTCTGACTTTCTCTTGACTAGACTATTCTACAACTTTCTGGGGGCAGTGGTTAACCTGTAGACAACTGATAACAAAGTAATTGCGTTCCCTGTCATAGAGCAATGGAAATGATTCCTATCCTTAGCACTACAGATACAAATGTCTTGGTAGAGATTTAATTGTTTTGCATCTGGTAAAAAAAAAAAACAACCCCAAATATTATGCCTCTTGCCTTGCAGGAATTTCCACTGACAATTTTATTTCAGCATTCCTTTGACTATATAAATTTTTTGTTTCTTGACTTCTTCTGTAAACCAGTCTTAATATCTTATATGTTCTATTATTTAATGAGTTAAATAAAATATCTGAAATATTTATATTTGAATAAGTGTGTTTTTAACTTATATCTTTTTAATGTTTATGGCTCCAACATCTAGTACAATTCTTGATATTTAGTAAGTACTCAGTAAATGCTTTTTAAAATTAATTAATTAAAATATCCATTTCCAACATTTTAGATGTCAGTGGAAGGAAAATTTATCAGATAAACTTGTCACTGTCAAATCTTGTCATTAACTCAGGACTTTTTACTGCTTCAAATGTTACTCAGTCAAGTTATATGAATGGAATGTAGTTCTAAGTGTACTAATGAACTTTCAATATATACTAATATATCTTCAATGTGTTATGAAATTGTTAAAATGAGAATTTAAACATTATATTACAGTGCATAAATGTACTAAATTCACAAATGTGCCATATTACATTAATTATTTTTAATTATTAATGTACTAAAAATTATGAATGTACTAAATCATACTGATGCCCCATTGTGACTGTAGCTGGATTATGTGAGATTGAGTCTCTTTTATGTTTCCTAAATTCTCACACATTTTAAACTTTAAAAGAAAAATATCCATGTCATAGTTGACATGATAGAATACATACAAATAAGTCTCACTGGAAAATTCACTTCATCCCAGATATTGGCCCTCAGCCTTTGTTACAGACCAAATGTTTATGTCCCCCACACAAAACTCATATTGAAACCTAACCCACAATGTGACAGTGTTAGGAGGTAGAGGTAGGTGATTAGGTCACGAGAGCAAGGCCTTTCTAAAAATATTACAAAGAGCTCCCTCCAGCCATCCACCATGTGTGAGGACAGAGCAAAAAGATCACATTTGAGTAAAAAACAAAATAAAACAAAACCACATTTGTCTCTGAACCAGGAAGCAGGTACTCATCAGACACCAAATCTGCTGGCGCCTTGATCTTGGACTTTCCAGGCTCCCAAACTGTGAGAAATAAATTTGTTCTTTATAAGCTATCCAGTCTATAATATTGAAGCCAAAAAGGGCTAGGGCTGCCTTACTGACCCAGGAACCTATTTTGTTGGACAGATAAACATTAGCCAAAACTTACATTCTTGGAAACTTATGAATACAAAACAAACAAGCCACTATCTTAATCCACAGTGAGAAGCAGATCTGAGAGGGGAAACGCTTTCCTAACTAAGGGAAATGGTTTGGCAACAGAACTAATTGATTTAAGCACAGTCTCAAAGTGGGTAATTGAGGTAAAACAGTGGATACAATTTACTGATACAGGAGAAAATGAAATGGAAACAATGTCATGGTTCAGGCGCCTCAAAAATCACCACCAGCGAACTAACCTGGGCAAAATTGTTGTGAATAGTTTTACACAGAGCAGTAACCAATAAAAAGACAAAGCCTTATTCTTTCCACCAGATATTCAACTCATCAAGTGTGTTTGTATGCAAATTTATCCTCTCTAGTGAGGAAAGACTGAACCCCTTGACAAGTTAACTCAGCGCACATGGAATAGAATATTTCATTTAGAGAACTGTGGCAAGACTATCAAGAGGTATTTACTTGACATGAATGTCTATTAAATTAAAAGGATTACGTTGGGGAGAGTCAGAATGGAAAGGCTATTGGTGGTTGGGGAGGGTAGGGGAGATTCGTGGAATACATTTATTATCCTTTAAAATACAGTCTGGGCAGGAAACAAGAGGCAGTTATTTTGTTTCTTTTGCTTAAGCTTTTTCTTAATAAACTTTTTGTTTTAGAACAGATGTTAACAGAATTATAGTGAAGAGAGTACAGTTCCCTACACCCCGCACAAGGTTTTTAAAAATCTCACTTCAACGTCCACCCCTACCTACACTCTCCCCCACGTCTCTCTGCTTCTGTTCCCCCCAGGTTTTGGCAGGGCCGAGTTCACTCAACCCAACTTTGCGATTTCAAGGGAAAACCAGCTCATTTAAACCTTCGCCACCACCAGCCACAACTAGGTCAGAAGTCAGGCTCCCGAAACCCGAAGGCGGAAACCCCAACGCTCTCGCCCCGCCCAGAGACGCGAGGAAACCTTCGCCAACGTGGCTCCTCTAAGTCTGGTCCCCTGAGGCGAGCGCGAAGCGGGGTCAGCAGCCTGGGCAGACTCAGGAGGGAAGGGCCCTGGGGCTCTGACAGAAGCGAAGGGCGGGACTAGGACAGTCCCTACGTCAGGCCCCTCCTCCGAAGGCAGCTTCTGGAAGCCAAAACCTTTTTAACCTCTAGACGCCCACAAGGAATATGGCGGGTTACCCACATACATGCACTACGTGTCGGTAGTTTTGTTTAATGCAGACGCCTGGGCTGGGGGGTATCCTCTCAGGCGCAGCCCAGCGCCCACCACAGCCAACACCCTAAAGCGCCTGGCTTCCGCTGGGGAACCTGGTCGCAGCGTGTCCCTTGGCGTGTGGCGCCGGGGCGGGCACGCGCACGTGAGGACGTCAGGGGAGCGAGCGCGCCGCCGCCACCGACGCTGCCGCCTCCGAGCTGTGCCGGGTTAGCCGTCAGTGGGGCTTGAAGGTGATGGCCCTGACAGAGGTCCGTGAGTCTACGTCGCTCGCTCGTTCTGCAATTGGGGCCGGCGACTGTGTCCCCTCATCGTCATGAGAGGTCAGGCCTGAGGGAAGCGGGCGGAGGCCCCAGCGAATGGGCTCTGGGGGGAATAACTGAGACTCTCGAAGCTCGAACGTGGGTGGAAAATTCTGTCCTGGGGATTCCGGAAGAGTTGTTTGCGTTTTTCTTCCTTTTCTTCTATTTCTTGCTGTTGCATGTTGGAAGGTGGGAGGGTTCAATTTTTTTTTCATGGAAAAGACCCTGAAACTGTCACGTCCAACGTGTCTTCAGAGGTTTGAGGGAATAAATAGCACTCTTGGCATCGGTGAAGCTTTTAGTGAAAGGAACTAAAAGCCAAACCTCCATACAGTAACTGAAAAAAACAAAATTCAAACCTAGGAATGAAACAGAATGACCTGCCATTAACCCTAGTTTCCTCCTACAGAAAAGCCAGGCTGGCATCCTCGAAGGCTGCCCCACTGGTCATTTAGGGATCCTTTCCTGCCAGTGTCCTCTTTCGTGACCGCCCCCTCCAACCCCACACGCACACCGATGATGGCATTTTTAATGGGCAGACTGTGTATCCTTATTAAGCCTAGGGTTACCTAGCAATTACATGGTGACTCCACAAGTCTCCCTAATTTAAAGGTATTTGGGTAATATTTGGGGTGGGAGAGGTAATACTAGAAGCCTTTTTATTAGCTTTGGGAAAGATGTTTCAGCATAAAACAAATGTGTAGGTCACCTATGTGAAAAGTTTATTCGTTCTCCATGATGATACTTAGTATGACTTCATTTTTTTTCTTCCTAGCCTTTCCAAGCCTTTAAAAATTATGATTCTTATGAAATGTAGTATCTACATTGGAGATGAAACTGCTCCCAGTGGGCACAGTACATGTACTGAAGTATTAAAATATGAATGAGTACTCGTGCTCAGATATTCACATATACTGGGCACCCATACTCTGTTCTGCTGATTCCTTCTCATTAGAGAACTGGATGCATCAGTTCAACTTCTCTTGTACCAGATGTTCCCTAAAGTATAGTTTGTGTAAGGCATACAAGCCTTGGCAGTAAGGGAGGAGTCTAGTAATAAATGATAGATAACCTGAAAATAATTCATCTGCTGTGGTTATCAGCCACTCCTTTAGTGAATTGTTCACTTAGAACATTTTCTGCTCTGATTTTTAGAAGACAGAGACCTGAAGCAAAGAAATCTGGATCACAGAAAAAATATTCAAGGGTCATGCAAGCCAACTGTAGCCAATTGCACAGTCATCCAGGAGCTGCAGGCAGTGAGGATGCCTCAGCCTCTCAATGTGTCCACACAAGATTGACCGAAGGTTCTTGTCTTCATTCTGGAGATGTGCATATCCAAATAAATTCCATACCTAAAGAATGTGCTGAAAATCCAAGCTCCAGAAATACAAGGTCAGGTGTCCATAGCTGTACCCATGGATGTGTACATAGTCGCTTACGGAACCACTCCCATAATGAAGCAAGGCAGCCTGATACTTCCATGGAATCTGGAGATCATGGTAGTAACTCCTTCTCAGAATTCCAGTATCTTTTCAAGTGGCTGCAAAAAAGTCTTCCATATATTTTGATCCTAAGTGTCAAACTTGTAACGCAGCATATAACAGGTAGGGTATAATAAAATATTGAATTGTTTCATTGATAAATTCACTAAATTTTATTTCTTTTTGGTAATCTACTTTAACCTATGTATTTTAGTTTCTTATTTTCTGCTAGCTTTTAAAATTGTAAATGTTTCCTTTAAGTTCATGTCATTGAACTTAAGTTCATGTTGGCTCATTTATTTTTTTTTCTTATAATTAACTGGAACTTATTATCTAACAGGAATTTCTCTCGGAATTGGACTGCTTACAACTTTTATGTATGCAAACAAAAGCATTGTAAATCAGGTTTTTCTAAGAGTAAGTACAATAAACAATTAAAACAGTTACTAAATGTTTCTCTCTGTAGATTATATACTAATTTTTGAGAGAAATAGGAATTAAAATAGTTTGACAAATTTAAATATATGGTAACATCTATATTAAGTTTTGTTATCTAAATGACATGGTATAAATGATTTGAATCGTTTTCACCTTAATAATCTTTGTAAGTCATGTTCCTGATAAAGAAAAACTGGACAGGATTAAAAAGTTTAGAATGCTCTATTTGATCTGATCTGTCAAGTGCCATCATATTTTATGAGATAGTTTAACCACAATAAGTAATATAATTGTCATTAAAAACTTAGCTATTGCATTGTCGGATTTAAAGTAAACAAAATGTACATTGAATAAATGGGTATTGAACTATTTACATCTCTCTTAAAGAAAATTAAACCCAAGAAGTTTTCCCCTAATATAAATTATAAAAGAGTGGTATTCATATAAATTACTAGGATTAGTTTATAAAATTTCACCTTCAAGCAACTTTAAAGGGCATTACCTGTGTAAAGGGTCATGAATTTTGACCTGGAAATTTGTAGTTAGAATCTACCAAACCATTAAAAAGTTAACTCAGGGTTTAAAACTAGTAAAAGTTTTAATTAAATTAGTAATTAGAAGTTAATTTTAGGCCTGGCTGGTATGGCTCAGTGGATTGAGCACCAGCCTGCAGACCGAAAGGTCCACCCGTTAATTCCCAGTCAGGACACATGCCTGGGTTGCAGGCCAGATCCCCAGTTGGGGATGTGGGAGAAGCAACTGATCAATGTATCTCTTACCCATCAATGTTTCCCTCTCTCCCTTCCCTTCTTTCTAAAAATAAATAAAACCTTTTTTAAAAATGTAAAAACTTAATGTTAAAAAACAAATTACCTTATTAAATTATTGTTGATGTCTGAGCATCTAAAAATTATGAACACTGATTACTTAAATGCATTTTTAAACATTTTATTTTGTCAGGGAGACAAAAATAGGGAGCTGCAGAGGTAAAGTTTACATTTGGGTGGGTCCTTTATGTCAGCTTGTAGATTTGGCTTCTTTGAAACATAGGAAATGTTTTTTATACAATGAAATAACTTTTATTTTTAAAATGTGGTTAAATATGGGTTCTGTTTTGTTCACTAAAGGTATATAAAAGAGTGTGATGATGTACATTTTAACATATTCTATACTTTTAATAAGTTTAATCTAGTAAAACATTCTAAGTTAATACATTAATCATTAAAGTAAAAATAGTTTAATGATACTTAAAATTATGGCATAATCCAAAGTAACAAATTATAAAATTATTTATTTTTCAGGAAAGGTGCTCAAAGATTCAATGTGCTTGGTTACTGGTATTCTTAGCAGGATCTTCTGTTCTTTTATATTACACCTTTCATTCTCAGTCACTTTATCACAGGTAATTAGAGGTCCAAGTACACAATCACATTTTTTATGTAATAATATTCCTTAGCATTTTGCATATATTTTACTTGCACATACTTATTGTTAGAGTTCAATTTTTACCTGTCTGTCTCCTTCCAAGATTGAAAGCTCTAAGTGACTTACTCAGATTTGTATACCCAGTGCCTTGGCTCCTGACAGGTGCTCAATACATATTTGATTTTTGATACTTAAATTTTTATTTCTACAATCATTATTAAGTACCATTTACTTAATACTGGTGGTGGTATTTTTTGTTTTTTATTTTTGACAAAAATATTTAAGTTGTACAATATGATGTTTTGATATATGTATACATTGTGTGATAAGAACACTTGATCTTTGTTTCTAGAAGGAGATGACTTGCTAAAGGACAGTAGTTGTTAAGTTTTCATGTTAGATGGAAGTGTTTTGAATTTTTGGCTTTAATCAGATAATTAGAAGTCCTGGTTTTCAGTAGTGTTGGAGAGATATGGCCAATCTTGGATATGATTTGTAGATGGAGCCAGTATCACTCAGATTGGATTGGGAGGGTAGGCAGAGGGGTAAATCAAGGATGACTCCTGGAATTTTAGTCTTAAGCAACTGGACAGATGGTGGTACCATTTACTAGGCTTGGAAAGACTGGGAAAGTAGGTGGTTTTGAGGGGAGAAATCCATCATTTTGTTTTGAACATACTAAATTTGAGATGCCATGTAAAACTCTTAAGAAAGCGATTATAGATATATGTCATGAGCTCAGAGTAGAGGTTGGGGTTATAAATTTTGGTGTGATAAGCCTATGATTGATATTTTTAAAACCAAGACTAACCAAGGAAAGTAGTCAGAGGAGAGGACCCAAGACTGGCCATGCCCACATATACAACAAAGGAAACTAAGAAGGAACCATCATCAGTCACAAAGGGGAAAAAGCAGGGAGTATAGTGTTAGAAATCTAGGAAAAAAATAATTCAGGGAAGGAAATGGACAAAGAGACATAACCTTTGAATTTAGCAAGAGGGAGGGAGTTGGTGATCTTGACAAAAGAAATTCAGTGGAAAGGGGAATGGAATCCTGATTCGAGTTGGTTGAGAGAATGGCAGATATCTAATTTCAGTGAATTTTCTTAGGTTACAGGATAGCAAGGTACCAACCATGAACAGTTAGGAAGACTGTTTTTTATACTATGGAGGAAAGATTTGAAATTCAAACATTTTAAAAATCTCTTTAAAATAAGCAAATGATCTTCTGTTTACATGAACTCTAACACTTGCCAAATTCATATTTTTTACACATCAAAGTAAAATATTCAGTAGCAAATTAAAAACCAATATATGAATACTTTACCTTTGTATGTTGCTCTGTTAAGTTTTGATGTTTTTCTCTGGGTAGCTTAATTTTTTTAAATCCTACTTTGGACCATTCAAGCTTCTGGGAAGTACTTTGGATTGTTGGAATTACAGACTTCATTCTGAAATTCCTCTGCATGGGCTTAAAATGCCTTATTTTATTGGTGCCTTCTTTCATCACGCCTTTTAAATCCAAGGTAAGAAACTAACATGTTTTGTTGGTACAAGATCAGCAAGCCACATTAATGCTATTTAGTCTCAACCTAATTTTATTATCTCAGAATAGCAACAATTTGCTCAAAGACTTAGACCAAAATATTAATCTATTAAAAAATCAGAATTATATTTGCTTCAGAATCATCTAAAAATCAGTTCCGACCTCATATATGGAAAATACTTAGATTTGTACTTTTATTCTCCTCCAGGGCATTATCTGACTATAATATAACTGACTATATGCTGTTATTCGATGTTTTTCCCATTTTCAATAAAAACTTTAATACAAATTTTTGTAATTAGCAAAAACACACATAAGTTTCACTTGTAATATACATAAAACATTTTCACTATGTCATTCTTTGGAATTCTTTGAAAACAAATCAGTGAGTGACCATAATATGTGAGAAGCAGGTTGAGGTTGTTGGTCATAACCATTAGCATTATGAAGACTAATTCATAGTTATTTGTGTGATTGTGTCATATACTCATGATGTTCTCAATCCAATATGAAGCATTTGTGTAATGTATGTAATTAGCATGGGTAACTATTTGTTTTCTTTTTCCTTCCTTTTTAGGGTTACTGGTATATGCTTTTAGAAGAACTGTGTCAGTATTACCGAACTTTTGTTCCCATACCAGTTTGGTTTCGTTACCTCATAAGCTATGGGGAGTTTGGTAATAGAACTAGAAGGAGTCTTGGGATATTGCTAGCTTTACTCTACCTCATACTAAAAGTAGGTAACGTTATTAATTTTGTCATTGTATGATTCATATAGTGATTACAGATTTTATTTACTATTGCTTTCTTCTTTAACTGGCTTAAAGTTTATCATCCTATCACTAGTTTGACATAAGTTTTAGATCTAGTTAAGGATGGAGGAATGGAACTATATATCTTTATCTTAACCCAGTGGTCCTCAGATTTTATTGGGGCAGTGAACTTCCACATAGCATGGATTATCTACACTGTGGAGAAGTGGGGAGAATAGAAATATCCATCTCCAGCAGTAGCATCTGTCATACACATAATTCTGACACTAGTGGAGTATCATATCCTGTTTCTTCTATGCCTTCTCCCCTCAGCTTAATCACTTTTATGAAACTATAAAATCTAAATGTTAAAAACATATGGACCAGGTAAAATTGCCTTGTCTTTGACATAGTTAACTTTTTGTCTTAATTGTACCTGTAGGTATTCAAATGTACTTTTTTTGGGGGGGGGGGTTGAGTTGGCTGAAACCTGTAAATTGAGTAAAAATTCCATAATTGGATTTTAAATATACTTAGATTGAAATTAGTTGTGATATGTGATGAACATTATTATCAGTATTTGATATTATGGCACCTTAGCTTTAATTTCTGGGTTTAGCAGATAGAGCTTTTTGAATCAATAAATAACCTCTTATTTCCTCTTTCAGCTTTTGGACTTTTTTGGACATCTAAGAAGTTTCAGACGGGTTTTGCGAATATTTTTTACACGACCAGTAAGTACTTTTTAATCATTTAAGAGAAACACTTGTAACCTTTCTTCATTATAAGTAACTTTTAATTGAGCAATTTTGCAAATGTGGATTTCCTATTTTTAAAAAACTTTTCTAATACTTTGGTACTTAGGGCTATGAGAATGATTTAGGAGTATCTGTGATCAATTTCTTGACTTGTACATTAACCTGATTAACCTGAAAGTGGGTATAATGCTTATGTATTTGAATGTGCTTCTTGCCCCTTCTAATCACTTGACATTCTTAAGGTCTTAGAAACATTCCCTTAAGTATCTTATCATGAACTTTGTAGCTGTTTCTTTTTTAATCTACACATACTAGCTTTGTGTATTTCCATTAACTCCTTATTCAGCTTCTATGAAAACACTTTCTCTGTTATTTATTGTGTATGAAAAAAGCTTATTACCAAAAATCATGTCCCTTGCAATTTTCTTACTGGAAAAATCTCCCCACTGATACTCAACTCTGTATGCACAAGTAAGTTCACAGCATGGAATTTAACAATAAATTGAGACTTCAATGTTAGTTATAAATGTGATTATTATGTGATCCTACTGATGTTACAAATTGCAGACAAAAGGGTGTCATAGGCTCATTTGCTATTTATAGTCTTTGTGGTCACCAGATTTCAGAGTTTGATCCTCAGTTTTGCAGTGCATTAGGTACTTAAACAATTACATGGCCAGGATTCAGGGCATCTGACTAAAAGAATGCCAACATAATAATGTATGTTGAAAAAACAAAAAAAGAGGATTGTATCTCCCAACTAGACTACACTAACTGGTCAAGGTACCCTGTCCCTAAGATAATAGTAATATAATACATTTTGCTGCATACTATTCAGACTTCATCCTTTAGACAAGATACAGTATAATAAAGAGTTCAGCTTTGGTTAGGTTTATTCATTATGTGAGTCTCAACTATTTAACTCTAATTAATCTAGTAAGGTTTGTATGACAATAGTTTGACTCTTTGTCTCTGTGAAACAGAATATCACAATCATCAACTCTCTTTGATTTACTCGAGTCTCTTAGGAACATATACATGGACATATGTATATTATGTTCCTTAACTTTGCCAGGGAAATGGCAATCACCATTAAGAAAGGAATCTGCAAAATGCCAAAGTGCTAATTTGAAAGCTTGTCAGGCTAAGTATCTGCAGTGTACTCCGCTAAATGACACTGAAGGGAAATTGGCACCAAGGTCATCCACCAGTAACCTGAAGAAGTCTTAATATTTTTATCCATTGTCTTAGTTTGACTTTGTTAACCCTTGATATTTAGTATAAGAAGTTTAGATCATAGCTTCAGATTGAGTCAAATCATGCTTTGCTGTCACTACCATGACTGACTGAACTTCGATGTTCTTACTCCCCTTTTAGCTTCCTCTTCCCCATAATTTCTACAAAAACTGATCTTTTATAATATTTTGATATAGCTAGTTAATAACTAAGTTCTACTGAATTTGGTGAGGAAGTTACTAATATCTTAAAGAGATCAGAAAATTTTTTAGGACCTCAGAAGAAAAGGAAAGTCAAAGAATTGCATTATTGTTCAGCCAGTTAATTTTGACAGTAACTCTACCCAATTTACATTTTGCAATTTTTTTTCAAATTTCTTTATTTTTTAAAAGATTTTGTTTGTTTATTTTTAGGGAGGGAAGAGGGGGAGAAAGAGAGAGAAACATCAGTGTGTGGTTGCTTCTCATACGGCCCCCACTGGGGACCTGGCCAGCAACCCAGGCATGTGCCCTGACTGGGAATCGAACCTGCGATGCTTTGGTTCACAGCCTGCGCTCAATCCACTGAGCTATGCCAGCCAGGGTGCAATTCGTTTTTAAATAAAATTCTACCATTCTTTCCTAGTACTAAATGCTCTGACTTTGTGTTAATAATTAAAACTATTTTTAACAGGAACGCGTATAAAGGACACATGGATAAAAATAGGAGTGGGTGGAAATGGGAGGGAGGAGGGGAGGGCTAGTGGGTGGGTTGGGATGGGAGTAAAAGATAGAAAATTGTACTGTAACAACAATTAAAATAAAATTTAAAAATAATTAAAATTATTTTTAGACTTAATAGTAAGGACACTGTTTACTCATCCCCAACTCTTCTTCACATTGAACCCATCTGGAGTTTACAAAAATTAGATTCCTGTTGTCACATCCCCATATATCTGGACCCACTGAATCAGTCTCCAGCAGGGAGCACAGAAATCTGTTTTTTAACTTTTTTTATTGATTGATTTTAGAGCAAAGAAGGGAGAGAAATATTGATTTGTTGTTTCTACTTATTTATGCACTCATTGGTTGTTTATTATATGTGCCCTGACTGGGGATCAAACTTGCAATCTTGGTGTATTGGGACAATGCTCTAACCAACAGAGGTACCTGGCCAGGGCCAGAAATCTGTTTTTAAAGCTCTCTCTCCACATGAGTTAGATTCAGCCAGCCAAGCTCTGGACTGACTTTTTTTGATCTATTACCATAGATAAGTGGGCTCGATTTGGCAATGCAGGGTCACCTAAATATATTATTGTAGATTTTATCATACTTGTATTTCAGACTGCTTAGGCTCTTAAGCCAGTTGAACCCATGTTAAATTTGAAGCCCTGTCATTATTAGGAATCTAGTGAATCTAAAAACCTTTCAAGATCCTGTTATGTGTTTAATGAATTTACCTTAATGCAGCCCATCAATATGTGGGTTCTGCATATGTAGTTCAGCTTTGAAATGTTTGTGCTGTTTGGGAGAGTTTTCAAGTGCCTAGTTCCAAGTAGATTTGAGAAACACAGCATCATCTACATACTGGAAGAACAAGAAAAGAATTTGTAGATGAACAGAACTTCTTATCTTCATAGAGTTACGGAGTGGCTGCCAGCAAGAGACAGTGTTCAGATGTGGATGATATTTGTTCAATATGTCAAGCTGAATTTCAAAAGCCAATTCTTCTCATCTGTCAGGTAATTATATTCCTAAGCAATCTAAATACACCACTTCTGTGACTTGTAAAAGTCACACTTATGTTAGTTATAAGGGGGAGGGGAACTACAACATTTAGCAGAAAGTAGCATTCAAGACACATACTGGTAATTTATTTGTGGTTAGGGGTTTGGTAGGTTAGTTAAATCTAGTCCCTTATGTTCTGATGATTTTTACACAGAGGAGTGTATGAAGGGAAAAAGTAATTCATATGGCAGATTGGTTACCCTATGATTAAAAAACATGCTATTTTTAATAACTGGACACTAGTCTCTTAGAATAATACCAGTATTTCTTTTTGGATTGTGTAAGGCCCTTTCCTATGCTTTATGGCAAGTACTCTCGGAGACTTTATTAAGCCACTAAATCATTATGTTTGATCTTCAAAGTTATCACCTAGGGATAGCTTGTATTTGATTAAAAGTGGTTAAATGGATAGTACCATCAAAAGAACACTAGTGACCCTTACTCCGGAATGTCATACTTACTGTTTTCTAATTTGTAAAATGAAGGGATTAGTGCTCTACAAAATCCCTTTTCCCTCTAAAAGAGTATGATTGTCTACAATGTGGTGAATTTAAAATAAAAATGTCATCAAGTTTAAAATGTAGTTCTTAATTCCCTTGCAGCATATATTTTGTGAAGAGTGCATTACCTTATGGTTTAACAGAGAGAAGACATGTCCGCTGTGCAGAACTGTGATTTCAGACCATATACACAAATGGAAAGATGGAGCTACTTCATCACACCTTCAAATATATTAAGTTGTATAAACTTTTAAAGCCACAAAACACTGAAGTGTTGTAGTCCAGTTCATCAAAAGATTGAAAGAACTCCATGTTTTAAAAAATATATATGTTCAACCTAATGCAGATGCAACATTATTCTATACTAATTATTTGACAGAATGCAGTGTTAAATTGTTTTCTTGTTACCAAAAAAGCAATTGGATAACTAGAGCTAGTTCTTAGAGGAACTCAGGTATTCTTTCCTAACACTGTTTTCAGAATAAAGAATATTTTCCTCAATATTTTAAGAAACACATTATCTGAAAGTAGAATTTTCTTTAGGGTTGACTTTATAATTCCTATTCTAAAAGTTCTTAAAATTTTCATAAAAGTTGTATTTTTAAATGAAAGTTCTAAATGCTATATTTTACATGTAACAATCAGATTTTCTAAGTAAAGATTGACTGAGGGTGATATATTTTAATACTGCATTGTTCTCTGTAGTATGATTAGCAGTCGGTGAAAATTGATGATTTAATTTATTGTTTGTGGACCTCTTATATACAATCTTGCCATCAGTTCGTGACCTTGCTTGTTGTGTAGTGCCACGGACTATCTTGAAGTAATTATTAAAATTAATTCACATGGAGCCCTAGCTTGTGTGGCTCACTTGGTTGGAGCATCGTCCTGTAAACCAAAAGGCTATTGGCTTGATTCCCAGTCAGGGCATGTGCCTGGGTTGCAGGTTGAGTCCCTGGTGGGGGTGTGTACAAGAGGCATCTGATCAGTGTTTCTCTGTCACATCGATTTTTCTTTCCCTCTCTCCATCCCTTTCCCTCTCTTTATAATCAATAAGCATGTCCTTTGGTGAGGCTAAAAAAATTAATAAATAAAATAATTCACATGGATTACCAATAGTTGGCTTCATGGTAATTTGAATAGTTTTGTAAACATGACCAACTCAAATTTTCGAAAAAGAATTCCTCCTATAACTAGTGTTCTCCAGAAGAGTTCTGGAATCTAATGCTTGAATCCCCATTACTTGGGAGATTAAAGCTTGCACTCAGAGGCAACCAAATGCTTGGATTGTGTGATTTGTTTGCCTCTTAAGTATCTGCATAGTGTGGTAGAAAAAGGAATTAGGCACTCTACCCTTGAAACCTCTAAGAGGGACCAATATCTGTAACAGAAGTCTGAAGTGGTGGTTATATCTAAGTTTAAAGTACAAAGCCTCTGCCCATTTTCTCGATCACCATCTATCAGTTTGAATTACAAGTAAGATATAGTGGGAAGAAGTTAGGTAGAGGTAGAAAACCAATTTGCAGTGTTGGTAATGATAAAGGCTAAACCAGCATATAGATTAATAAGAATCGTGACCAACCAGCCATAGGTTAAGTCACGTTCATGCTTGTATGGCTACCCTAATTTGCAAAAGAACTTTAGAAAGCCTGTAAGTTTTTACCTCAGGTATATACTGCCAGCATATAAGTACACCTGTTTCTATACATTCAGCGATGATATATTTAACTATTATCTCCTTTGAGAACATTGCAAATATTGAAACCAGCTTATTTGGCCTTATATCACCTTCCTAAAAGTTATTTAGGCATAAGGCAAGGGATGGGTGAGAAAGACAATTTGGGATTACAATTTGGGAGTGAAGATAAATAAGCTGACTTGTTAAAAGCATAGGAATAGCACTTTACTGCAGGGGTTACTTCCACCCTACTATTGTATAATACCTACTTACCCTATGGCTATATTCATGGCTTTGTTTCCCAATATAATTTAATAAAGGAGATGCCCAGTGGACAGTGTTTGTTTGTTTTTTTAACAAGAAAGCATTTCACACGTGAATTTAAAAGGAGGAAAAATGTAATAGGAGTGTTATGCCATCCACTAGCAGCACTGAAACAACAGAAGCATTTCTCTACTTCTATTCCTTCACCTCAAAGAACGGGAACAGGAATTCAAAGAGTCATGTGTTCTGTGAAATCACATCACACCTTTTTAAAGATTGCTTCATCACCATTAAGAGTTGCTATTATATGTTTTATAAAAAAAAGTCAAGTCAGTTTGAGAACCTCTATAGAGAAATAATCTTGGCAAGTGTGATAGAATTGCCTCATAAATAAAACATGATTTATACAAAACTTTACCCATCTTACCCTATATATATTGAGACATTAGTTAAAAATAGATTTGTGCACTACATTATTTTGTGTATACACATCAAATAATCAAATGTAGTTGACAAGTGTGGCTGAACAAACTTGATTATTAGCATAAGAAAGTCTTTTAGTGTTTTTATGTGAAGGTAGCTTTCACACAACTTTTCACATGAGCTTTTTTTAAAAGCAACTAATTCAACTTGGAAATCACAGATGTGTCATATCTAATATATAAAACCAGTACTAAAACTTGATATATATTTAAGTAGCTGCAATTTCTCAGCAGAAACACTTTTACAACTGTCACTCCTCACCTGTATAGTAGAGTTGATCCTTGAATAATGTGAGGATTAGGGACACCATCATCTCCCCCACCTCCATCGAAACCCACATATAACTTGATTCTACAGTGGCCCTTCATATCCACTGATATGGAGGGCCAAACATATTTACTGAAAAAAGTTCTGTGTGTAAGTGGATATGTGCAGTTCAAACCCATGTTGTTCAAGGGTCAACAGTAGTTTATTAAAGGTGAGAACCTGAACATATCTGGCATGTTAATGAAAAAAATTATTGAAACTATTTGTGTACCTGTTATTTCTTCCTATCTTAGGATAATAATAAAAAAATCACTTCTATATTATGTTCATTCAAATTTGCATTTAATTTCTATTTACATTCATTCAATCTGAAATCAAATAATACAGTAAACTAAATACAAGATGAAAAGCAGAAAAGGTGTTACCCTCATAGCACTCCTAATAAGGCAGCTGAAGAATTTATTTACTCTGATAGATGCAAAGCCAACTTGGGATAAGAAAAAATAATAGTTTAAAGAGCAAACACAGATGAACCCATCTTTCAGGTGTTATTTCAAATAATCCACTGAGATATAATACTTGTGCTGTAGTGGTAATTTAAGAATCACACAAGAAAAGTTCTATATCAATCAGCAACAGACCACAGGTCATAGTGTGACAATTACTTTTATGACTGTCCAGCTTGCTAGTGTTTACTCCTATGAAAAAAAGGTAGATGTTTGGACATTGATGTTATTATTTGAGAAATTAACCATTTTCAAAGTCTCAAAATCCATTCTTCATAAATTCAACATTTCTCATGGGAATAATCTTAGATCTAGCCCTTGTAAGCTAGGAACCATATGACTGAGTTACCAAAAGAGTTAGGTCCTATGTTAAATATAAAATCCAAGGCTCAGTATATTAACACTACTGAAGATGCATCTTGTTTATAATCATTTATTACTTAAAGAATGTTGAATTTATGGAGCATCATACATGCATTCTCCCTCACCCCACCCTCATTATCTTCTATCTCGAAAAATAGTATGGAAAAATCCTTCTTGAAGGATTCAAATTAGTTAAGACCATAAAGGGGAAAGAATATAATTTTCTAAAAAATCTGGTTCAAGTTCAATAATTAATACTTTACATTGTTAATCACAGCTGGTTTATAAATCCCAGTTTATTCTGTAATGCTACAAACCTTAAAAAATCAAAATTAGTAAACTTCAGTTCTCAGTGATTATATTTTAATTAAAAAACAGCATGTATATAAAATTAAAAAATATCCTGCAATAGCTGATTTTAAAGAAAATAATCAAGTGATGAAAGAAAAGCACTTAATCTCTTTTATACACTTACCTGGAAGAATCATAAAGAACCCTCTTAGAAACTCAAGACTAGTAATATTGACATCATATATTTTAAACTATGCTTGGATTTTTACAAATAAATATAGGGCAAGCCATTTTGCATAGGTGTGTGCTTTCTGTCTGTGACACTACCGTGGCACTTGACATGTTTTCACAGTCACAGCAGGGATATCCATTTATGAAACACAATTTCTCAAACCTGCCACAGCATAGGAAATTAACTTCCCTTAATGTTAACTTGGAAAGCTGTATTTGTGTGGATGGTAGATGTGCAATTAATGTTTTTTATGCAGAGAAGTTGCAGTATTTGCCACTATTGCTAGCAGTACTAATTATGAAAATGATTTAACTATGGGGTGTTCATAGCCAGCCAATCACAGTGCAAATGTTAGTAGCAAATAAGACTAAGAAGGAATATTTTGGTGTAAAAATTTTGCTGGAATTTGGTCAGGCAGTCAACACCACAATTAGTAAATACATTTGAAAACAAGTATCAGAGTATCACAAGCCATTTACAGTCTGAAATAGAGCCTATAAAAAAATCTGTACTTTAAATATAATTTCTGCCCTTATCATTATGGTAGCTACTAATTTATTAGCTACAGTTATAAAGTTCTCAGTAGGCTGCTACAATAATGGGGAAATGGGGAATTAGGAGTGATTAAAAAAAAAAGCTTTCTGTCCAAAGTTGAACTGTTATCAATTCTTTCATTTATTGCCACAATTGAAAGGATATTTCCAATCATTTTTCATGGATCTGTTTTTACTTAATGTCATAGGATTTCATCTCATCTCACTTGAATTGCCATTAAAATAAGCAAAGCTCTGCTCTTTTCTGACTGATTTCAACATGCATAAAGAATTTTATGGCTTGGATCCTATGGCTCAAAAAGGTTTGGAGAACACAGCAAGCAGCATCTATTTAAAAAAAAAATCATAGGGTTGCAAAATATTACAAATTGACTTTGCACACTCAGACTAAAGACATTATAAAAGACAGAAAGAGGCGATAAGACTTAACTGCAACTGCATGATCATCTATTATACCAGTATGCACTGAAATATATTTTTATAAAGCTCTGCAGATATTAAACCCTTTCACCAGCTAAAGTCATGGAAATGCTCTCTTTAAGGCAGGAAGTATTTAAGAAAGGTAAAGTTACCTTTATTTTTATTCTGTGTACCGGTAAATCATTGAAGATTTTGTTACAATTTCAAAAACATAATGTCTGTTAACATGTTTCCTTAATTAAGCCACTAAGTTTTCTTATTCACTGTGGAAGACATTCATCAAAAGGCCATCAAATATTTTTACAATCAAAAAATGTAGCCCCAGTATAGGAGAAAAGAACCTTTTCCCTTTTAAAACTGTTGAGGAAAAAATGTAAGGAAGGTAGACAGTAAAAAGTAAAACTTCAAACCTTACCAATCTGTTGTAAAGAGATTAGACATAGAGAGTGGACTATGGCAACACCCTCTTCCCCTGGATCTCCCTATTTCCCTCACTTTGCCGCCCTCAGTATGCATTTTATCCTGACTCTCTTCCGTCCTTCTTCAGCCACAGGCTGAACACATTTGGCGTCTTGAACCAAATACTGGTATAGGAACAGGTGGCGATATTTTTCCAGTGCAATGCAGGCCCAGGACAAGGATGAAATGTAGGACATACAACTTATGCCCATCCCAAGGCTTCCAGTTAAGCTTAGCACATAGCAGTACTGCAAATAGAAATGATTAAATAGATTTTTTCCTAATATTACAGACAGGTTGCAGCTGGGTTACTGAAAATAAACCCCAGGTCCA